ACATCCATATATATAATCAATAGAAACATAGAATATGCAATATTCTACAATTGGTTTTCACGAATCTGTATGATTTGATTCTTCTTGTCTTTTCCTAGTAATATCTGTCATTGGTTTTTACATCTCCTGTGACTGATTATTACTGTATCAATTCATTCACAGTGTGAGGTATGGTTGTGAGTCTGATTATTGCAATATATAGTCATTATTGCAGTGTTTTAATAACAGACTCTCTTATTTCTCTACTAGGCTTTTCCTCTTTCTGACAGGCAGATATTGATTTGTTTCCTGTATCTACAGGTAAGTAATTCACTAGGCAAGCAGGGCCGACGCCACCATAAGACGAAAAAAGTATTTGCCTGGGGTGCAGACCTGTAGGGGGCGCCCACCGGGAAGTTTCCTGGTTGGCTGCTGCTTTCTGGAGCTGGAACGCTGGGTGAGCTGCTCTTTAGCAATAGCAACCCGCCAGCGCAACTGCTTTACCTGCTGGGCTCCCTCCATGTCAGGAAGAGCCCAGCTCCCTTCCAGCAGGAAGGGGAAGCCGGGATATATAATCATATCCTGGCTGCCCCTGTCTGTAACTACCGGACACAGGGGGTGGACCCTGCAACTTGAGCTAGCCAGACATGCTTCAAATGAGCTCCTGCGATCGGTGCTGATTCACCGGAGATCTCTGGTCACCAGGCTGGAAAGGTCTAACTGAGGTGCTACCTATGTGGGGAACACTATTCTGAACCGATTGAGACCACTCTCGAGACACTCAGCTAGCAGGACCCGCAGTAGCAGGTTGCAGCCTACTAACACATGGGGAGGGGAAGAGCTGCCGACTTCCTCACTCCACCCTGCACGGACTGGCAAATCCTTTATTCTCTCTACCCCCACTACTGTGGCACCGAACCCTTGCAAGATCCAGCAGACCTTCTCTTGTCATAATTTGCCTAGCATGATCTCACTCTGCATGTTCGTCTCTTTAGCCTTTGCATTAATTTATTTTCATGTATTTTCATTTATTCATTTTAATTTTGCATAGTTAGAAGCCTTACTAGCGATGTGTAGGTTAGGTGGCTCACCCAGCATGACACTATAACCTTAAACTCTCAGCTGACATACTTACTTACTTTCATGTAGTTCAAGCATTACCTAGCAGTATGTTACCAAGTCAGGATAATTAACTGCATAGTATTCATAGCCTTATATAAGCCTGTGCCTAGTCAAGACAAGACACACACACATATATACAGACAGACACACACAAAATATTTTAGTCACCCTCCTGTTTTCTACCTTTTTAGGTGGAGGAGGATGACTTTCCCTGGGATCGAGTGGTGGCTCAGGTGGATGGGAGTCAGAGTTCCCACTCTGACTCGCTCCTCCTTCCTCCCGCGCGGCTCTGTGTTAGCTGGGAGGAGTGACGTGCAGTCACTTACTCCCAGCTCTGTGATGTAATCACAGGGGGCCCGGTCGCGCTGTTAAAGCCCCCAGCGCTGACCGGGCCCCCTCACAATCCACATCCATCGGGTGGCCCTGACAGCATGGGCCACCCGATGGACCCCTCCATATGCGGCCCCGGCGGTTTGCCGCGCGGGCCGGGCCGCAAGTGGTGATGACGCACCCACTCGCCCGCCCAATCTCTCAAAATTAGAAAATCCCTACTGCCCACTAGTGAGCGGTAGGGACCAGGTTGACGACCCATGGTATAAACGGAAAGGACAAGATGGAGTAACATTCTATGTTGTAGAAAGTTAATTCGACCATTCATATTTGACATAAGCTTTGGAAACAAAAGAAATGCATAAAGCTGCTTTTTAAATTGTCCTCAAAATGATTTGTGCAGGGATAAACCCTGTCATACATAGGCAGAGAGGACAAACGAAAAGAGAACAACTTGGAAAGTAGGACCAAGACCGAAACCTATAGGGGAAGAGGTACTATGGGTGAGTGTCTAATTGGATATCACTCAAACAGAGTGTTCAATGATATAGACAAACACTGCAGAGGACATTAGTCAGCCCCTACGGGTTTAGAGCATAACCACATGTCAGACCCTCTGTACAGTGAAAGTATGGCAGGAACTGACTACTAACACTGCCATTTATGAGATAAGCATACAGCATAAATATGCTGTTACTGCTGTCTGTAAAGTAAACGTTCAGTAGAGACTGACTGCTGTCAGAGACAGGGGGCTGGTTAATAAACACATTATCTAACATTAAATGGATAAGCAGTTCCAAACAGGGGCTAGGTGAATAGACATACTGGCTGATATTAAATGGATAAGCTGTTCCAAAATTAAGCTAGTGCTACCACCAAAACACCCCTGCTGCTTCAAGGCAGCCCCCATTATCCTCTATATTGCTAAAGTCCTAAAAAAGCCCTATATTCCAAAGAAGCCGGACCATCATATTGTACAGTTAAAAAAAAAAAAAAACAAGCAAATAACAGCCCGATGCGCGTTTCGGCGGTAACATCGCCTTTGTCAAGAGCTGTTGATAACAAATTGACTACCTCACGAGAAACCGCTTATTGGAGAACTTTGGACTGAGAAAACTGATATAGTTCACCCTTTTCCTTTATTCTTTTATCGTCTAGTCCTATTTAAAGGGACAATATAGTCACCAGTGCAACTACATGTATTCCTAACCCTATAGTGTTAACACCACCATCCAGAAGTCCCTCTGGTCTGTGGCGTACACACTACCCATGGGGCCCCGGTGCGAAAACTTACTCTGCGCGGGCTGGGGCCGCAACACATGCGACCCCTGCGACCGCGGTATATACGCCAGTGCATGCAAATACACATACACTTAAAGGACCACTACAGACACCCAGATCACATCAGCTCAATGAAGTGGTCTGGGTGCCAGTTCCCTCTAGTTTTAACCCTGCAGCTGAAAATATAGCAGTTTCAAAGAAACTATGTTTCACTGAGGGTTAATCCAGCCTCTAGTGGCTGTCTCATAGAGGAGCTTCCGCGATTCTCACTGTGAAAAACACAGTGAGAACGTCCATAGGAAAGCATTGAGTAATGCTTTCCTATGGGCGGTTTGAATGCGCGCGCAGCTCTTGCCACACATGCGCATTCGGAGCTGAGAGGTGGATCGGGGCGGAGAGATCCCCAGCGACAAGGGAGTCCGGCGCTGGAGAAAGGTAAGTGCTTAAGACATACACACACACTCATGAACAGATGCATACACACTAGCTAATAGACACACACTCAGTGACAGACACATACAAACTCACAACACACACTCAGTAACACACTCACTGACACACTCTAACACTAACACACACACACACTTTAAAAAAAAAAATATATATATATTTAATCCCCCAGCCTCCCTACCTTTGGGAGAGTTGAGGGGATTCCCTGGGGTCCAGTGGTGTCACTGGGTGGGCAGGCTGGCTGGCGGGCGTGTGAGGGAGCACTCTCCCCTGAGTGCTTCTTGTTCAGCTCCCTTGTGTGCCGTGTACTGATGCCGGAGCCAGAAGATGACGTTATCGCACACCCAGGGAGCTATAGGCTGCAGGGAGCTATAGTTCTCACCCGAACAACATCATTAAGATGAAGTTGTTCAGGTGACTATAGTGTCCCTTTAAGATTTTTATATACATAATCTCTCTCAAAATACTGTTAGAACGAAATTACATATATATTTTTTCTATTTTTTAACGTATGTATATATAAACTTAGTGTATATGAGTGTGTGTATATAGATATGTATATGTTATTTTATTTTACACTATTTTTAACCTTTTATTTAACTTTTTACAGGCAGCAGGGGGACTACCTGTCATTCCAGGCACTCCCACTGCTGGCACTGTTATGAATGGCTATTCTGTCCATGTGATCACAGATTCCCGCTGTCCTTAAGGGGTTAATTTTCTTTCTGTTTTCAAAGTCTGTGTTGTGATTCTAAAGAAAACAGGAGAGCAGTGCTTTGGCATGTTTAATTATGCTAGAATAAATACTAATACAGGAAGTGGCTGTTATATAAGAAAACTTGATGTTCAGGTGAGTTCTGGCATAAAAATAACCCTCACTTTGAATAACATTATAATAAAAATTATATCATAATATTATACAAATTATATTTTGCTTATTAATAATTAATTTAACCCTTTATGGACGGAGGTAATTGTACAAGTTCTGATCAAAACAAAACCTGGAATTTGACTGACTGTTCAGCCATTATTTACCTATTTCATATTACG